TGAAGGTGTGGAAGTAGGGGCTGAAGTGCTGGATGATGTGAAGGGAAGGCAGGAAAGGGGAAGAAGGCCAAGGGAAGGGAATGGAGATGCCCTGGAGAGTCCCTGGGGGGAGAGATGGGGTGTTCCTCTCCCTCCCTGAGGCAGAGGGACAGAGGGTGGTGCCAGATGAGATCTTTACCTCTTCCCCTTGGACAGGTCTGTGCCCCTTCCCTGGTGGGGGAGCAGCAGCCCTGGGCAGGGAGGGAGATGATTTTGTCAGGGAAAGAGGGTTGGTTTCCCCCTTTTGGAGTAGGAAGGGTTAACAACAAGGGGCAGGTCCCGAAGTCTGACAGGATGCTGAAGTCCCCCGGCTCTCCACACACCTCCACCCTAATCCCTCTGCCTTCCATCCCCTTCCCACCCCCCTTCTCTGCTCGGCAGGCTCCTCATTGCCGGAGGAGCTTCCTCAGGCTGCAAACCTGGAGGCAGCACCTTTACCCCAAACCTGCCGGGATGTAGCACGCACCTTTCACCCTACCCCATTTCCTCTTCCTCCGTCTGCTCAAACTTTCCCTTTCCCCCTCCCCAGCCTCCTGCTACCCTGGATGTAAGACCCCCCAACTCCCGCCCGAATTTCGGGTTAATGGAGCACGGAGTTGAGGAGGATGCTAGGAAAGAGGTACAATTTAAACAATTAGGAAAGGGTTAATGGCTGTCGCCGTCTTCTGCCTGGGCAAACCCTGGTGCAAAGGCACGGCCGANTTACTCCTGTTTGTGTTTTTGGACAGCAAAGTTGGTGTTTGTTACAAAATTCACCCAGCATCTCACCAAGGGGAATTAGGGGTGGGTTTGCCTTTTCAGAACCACCATGATGTTGCTCTTGGGCCTTTTGACCTCTGGTTTTGCTGTTCTTGTCTGCTTCTTTTCCTCTGGGAATGACTCTGGAAAGTGCTGATGGTGCCCATATCTGCCCTGAGGAACTTCAGGAGTCCTCACACCACAATGTGATGGGACAGAGGTTGCCAGTTTGGGCTGAGCTGAGGTCTTTTAGTTATTTCTGCACATTTTCAAGCAAAACAGGGCAGAGATCTCTGTTTCAGGGCTTTCTGTGTCATAAAGAAATTTTGGACTGGTCCCTGCAAGGGGAGCAGAGAGGAGAACCACAAACACAAAAGTGTCTTTAAATCTGTTATGCTACCAGGATAGATCATTCTCCCCACAGATCTCATGTTTGGGTATGTCGGCAGGATGGAAGGAAGGGTCTGTGTCCCCCCAAAATCACATTTCTGGGAAGATCTGATGTTTTGAGAGTATTTCCTGCTCTGCCAATGGCCTTCTTTGCCCTCAGAATTATCCTGCTAGAGGAAATTTCACAGATCCATTTTATGCCAAAGTCATTTTGCCTTCATCACTTCACAGATGAAGAGAACAGGTGAATTATTGCACTTGGGTGCCTCAGACAGCTGCAGACCCCAAATCCCCACATCCTGTTTGCTGTCCCAGCTCACCCTCAGCTCTCCCTGGAGGGCACACAGTGAGAAATGGGCACATCAGTGGTATTGAGGGGCAGGCCATGTTTAACCTCTTGTTGAAGGGGGTCTAGGAATTCACAAATCTCTCTACTTAGAACTGGAAAAACATAGTCTGCAGTGACATTTGTCAGTATCTTTGAACAGTGCTCTCTGTCCCAGGGTAGGATTCCTGGTCCTGGGCCAGGAGCTGGACTTTGATGGTCCTGATGAGTCCTTTCCAGCTCAGGATATTCTGCAATTCTCAGATTCATGGAGCCCAATTCCCCATTCCCACAAAGATGAGTTTTCCATCAGGCCCAACTGTAACAGAAAACGGGTTTGGTTTGGTCAGCAGCACTTTTTGGTGTGTGCTGTGTCCTTCTGCTTGGACTTCTTTGCCCTGTAATACAGGAGAGAAATCAGCTGCACCTTGCTTTTCCTGGCCTCCCCAAACACAGGACAGTGAAGGTGAGTGCCCCCTCTGCTCCCAGCACTCCAAAAGAAAGGCAGAGCTGCTCCACGGGGCTCAGAGGGGCAGGGACAGAGTTAGGGTCAGGGTTAGGGTTGGGATTAGGATTAGGGTTGGGGTTAGGATCAGGGTTGGGGTTAGGGTTAGGTTTACAGTTAGGGTTAAGGTTAGGATTAGAGTTAGGATGAGGGTTAAGGTTAGGATAAATTTTAGGGTTAGGATTAGGCTTGGTGTCAGGGTTAGGATTAGGGTTGGGGTTTGGATTAGAATTAGGGTTGGGGTTAGAATAAGGGTTAGAGTTAGGATTAGAGTTGGGGTTAGTTTTACGATTAGTGTTGGGGTTAGGAGTAGGGTTAGGATAAGGTTTGAGGTTAAGATTAGGGCTGGGGTTAGGGTTGGGTTTAGGATAAGGATTAAGGTTAGGTTTAC